ACACAGGTAGTTTAATGGGACCCGTCTTTGTAATGAGGCGATGTTGACAATGTTAGTTACCAAATTTGCATTTTAGAATCCCGCTCAGGGTGCAGAAACGCTTTCATCATTAACAGATGGCAAATATGTAAACTAGTGGTCCTTAATGAGGAGAGCGCATTTACCGGGTGTATAAAAATAAAAAATGCCATACTGCAGCGCACTGTGACAAAAATATTAATTTAGTTGTGATGAGCTCCAGAAAGTCGGGATATCTTGATATCGGCCACGACAGCGTCCTGTCTCCATCTTCGACTAAACGTGGAAATAGTTCTTTGTCATTTTTCATCAACATCATTATGTTATCGGTAATAACTGAAGCAGCTGATAAAGCAGATTTATTCTGAGATGTTACGCAGTGTAGCCTGACGTAGACGTTAATAACTGCATATTGTCTCCATCATCAGGGAGGCAGTAAGCACCTATGAAACGTCGGTGATCTCCTACCGGACTGTACAGCGCAACATCCCAGAAGACAGTAATCTTCATACTCGCAGCTGTGAGAACCTGAAATATCACCAGCTGATACTGGTCCATCCTCATTTCTTTTTTATCAGAACTACAGCCATATTCGTGCCCTCGTCCTAGAGTTTTTTATAACATGATTATGACAAGTGGCGTATCTCCTTGGATGACCAATCGGATATCGCAAGACACTTACCATATAACATTTTCGGAATGTATATTCCATACCGGAATACATTTTATATCCTCACGCGTTCTTTGCAACGTGAATTTAGAGGTATTACGTCTACCTTGTTCGATAGTTCCCACTTTGGCCTCAAGATCGCATCATCTCAATATCCACATCACGAATTAACTCATCCGCCATTTTATTAACACCGCTCGTAGGATATTTAAAAGTACGATTTTGAGGTCGTCATCCAAATCCGTCCAGTGGTTCTAGAGTCGTATCGGCTGGACGGCCATACACGACCAGTCCATAATGCGTTATCGCTACGCACTTCCTGCAAAGAACGCATAAAAACGTGAGTTAAGTTATCGGGCATGCCAGCCACACGAGATCTGCTATTAAATTACGTAAGAAAAAACTGAGGTGAACTAACAGCTTAAAGAGCTATAAGTTCATGCTGGGGAGATAAGCATAATGAAGACTGGCTTGAATTTCAATGAGGGCGGGCACCTAGAACTGACAGCATTATCTGTTTGTAACAACATCAGATGTGCATGTCAGCCTGTATGGTTGCTAAACCTGGCTCCTTAATGTTCAAGACGAACATAAATCCAAATGCTTGAAAAATAAAATACCAAAGACTGTCTGGACTTAATTAATATGGACGAACTAACAAATTAAGTATATCAAATCTAAAACTTCTTGACGATGGTGAAGAGTCAATTGAATAAACATTTCCTTGGATATTATCCATCGTCTATTAAATATAAAACGTAAAACGACGTTTCGGAGATGAGACTCTATCTCCGGAGATAGGGATTAGCTCTATCTAGTGGGCCCAACTGTGTAGGAACCTGAAGACGGAGATTGAATCCCATCTCCGAAACGTCGTTTTACGTTTTATATTTACTAGACGATGGATAATATCCAAGGAAATGTTTATTCAATTAACAAATTAAGTAACTAACAGACTGGAAGAACTGTCGGAAATTGCGATCATACGAGTTTAAGTCTACTGCTAAGATTCCTAATCTTCTTAGCAAAGTCCTCTAGGAAAAGCGAAATCAAATCGTGGTTATTATGGCTAGCCTATGGGGCAAGTTATGAGGGATTTTTCAATCCCTGATTTTATTTTAGGTAAAATTACGCAGCGAGCGGAGTGCTCAGTGTTTTAACACGTCGCATGAACCCTGTTTGCTTCAGCACCACTGAAACTTCTTATGTTTGCGGAAGGTAATTTAACGTTGAAGACTCTCTATTCGCACAGCGGGTCTTGACTGTGAAACGCGGAGGACGATTTCTTGCACAAATAAATTCCTTCTGCTTCTCCATA